TGATGCACAAAAGATTTTAACTTTGATGAAGTCCAATTAGTCTATCTTTTCTTTCATTATTTTTGGTATTGTATTTAAATAACTATTGCCTAATATATGGTCATCATACAGGTTTTTACCTATGTTTTCTTCTAAGAGTCTTATAGTTTTAGCTCTTATATTTAGGTCTTTGATCCATCTTGAGTTAGTTTTGTATAGAGTGTTAACTATCAGACTTTGGACTCAATGAGTTTGATTCTCCTTTACTTTGTAGTGGAATGCTCTAGAACAACATAAAACTTCATATTACAATCTGACTTATAATACCTCTGCTCTATAGAGCCCTATGTGCTTGAATTTAAACATTTATCTAAGAAGAGAGTTCAAATTTCCATATCCTCTAATAGCCTCAGAGACCCTGGTTCTTAATCACCTAGAATTCAATTTCATAAACTTTTCAATTGGATGTTATACAATTAAATGAGAATGTATATATGAAAAAAATAAGCTGGTAGTTTCCAGAAAGATGCTGAATATCTGAGGTGGACTGCAAGAGCAGGAATTCCCTATATACCCTAAAAAAAAAAAACAAATGGTAAGTGTAGTCCTTGACTAGATCCTGATTTTAATGAATCAGCTGTGAAAGACATTTTAGGAATAATTGAGTAAATTTTAATATAAATTTGGTATTAGAGGATATTAGGGAATTGTTAATTTGCAGATTATGTAATGATTGTGAAGTTATACAGAAAAATATACTTTTTTGAAGGGCTAAGTAGTGGAGTATTTAGGGATAAAATGCAAGGTTGCCTATAATTTACTTTAAAATACTTTAGAAAACAAAATAAATGAAGCACACATAGCAAAATATTAACAATATATTAAAATACATTAAGTAATATTAAAATGTTAATGATATTATTCATATAATAATAATTCTTCGTTTGGAAGACTGAGTTTAAAATCCAAACACAGAGTTAAGAAAATATGCAAGAGAGATCTCAATTTAGGGAAGTAGGGCTTTGTGGAGTAAGGGGTGTGTTGGGGCTAAGGAAGATTGAAAGTCCTTAGGTATTAATCAGAATTACTTAAAGTTCATAAAGTTTACTGAAAATTGAATGAAATTTAATACGCTCCAAAAGGGCTAGAAGCAAGTCTTTTACTCAAGACTGTACCCTCAGCACCTGGTAAAAATCAATGTTTGTTACCAGAATATGCTCAATAAATATTTGTAGACCAAATAAATGAGGGAATAAATAATCATTTCTCCTTCATAAGTAGCAAATATTTGCATTTAAATTCTGACTGCTTCGAAAATGGTTTTCTGTTTCTAGAATGAAAAAGACAAACTAGATTCCTACAGTTAGTTACTACAACTGAACATTAAATTTCTATTCAAGCTGCCTGGAAACCAATATAAAAAAGAAAACATGTTTTCATTATTAAATAAAAGAAGGTAAACAAATACTTCTGGAGATATAAAGCTTTTGCTGGTACTAAATTATATTTGACTTCATGAATTCTTATTAACAGGAACATGGGGTATCATGGTAGACATATTTCTATCATGGTAGAAATATTGCAGACATTTCAGTTACGTAAAAACCCTATCACCTTAAATTTGGAGATATTAAGAAAATAAAGTCTTCCTTTCTTGATAACCTTAAATCATCAATGCCAGAACCTAGATATCCAGATAATAAGTAATAATAATATTTATTCTAATGAGCCACTTCATTCATGGCTGCCTTAATTCTCAAAGGTAACTAACCTTGTGAGGGACAGGGATAATTGTACTCCAGGTGCTAGATAAGAGCAGGAGAATAAAATAATGTGGGTACTTCTGTCTAGGCCTCTTTCTCTGATGTCCTGCACACCCTCATGGATATTATTCTGGACTTGCTGCTGAGGACTAACTTTTACCTTTGTCCCGAAGTAATCTACCCTTACTTCTTCAACCAAAGTCTCTAAGATGAAGATTCTCAAAGCTGTATATCCAGTTCTGACAACTTCCTAAGGCCATGTTGTATAACTGGTTAAGCACTACTTTTACTTAGACATTCTCACTGTTCTTGAAAATACAATATACTGAAAAGCAATTCTTCTAAAATACATAACTGACAATGGCACTATCATTCTTCTGCTCTTGAATTTAAAATCTTGGAATTACCTTTGAATTTTCACTCTGCTTGCATCCCTCTCATATCTAAGGTGGAAATCTTTCCACCTTCTCTCCCTGCTATCCTCTTTCTCCTTTGCCACTGTGCTAGTCCAAGTGCTTATCACTTTGTATCTGGACTGTCATAACAGCATCTCACTTGATCTCCCTGTCTCTCTCGATACTTATCCTCCACTGTAGCCAAAATAAGCTTAAGTTTTGTTTTTATCCTATTATAGCAGTGCTCAAAAACCTTCCATGAATCAAAAAACAAGTGTTGGCAAGGATGGGGAGAAAAGGGAACTCTCATACATTGTTGGTGGGATTGCAAATTAGTACAGCCACTATGGAAAACAGTATGGAGGTTTCTCAAAAAATTAAAAATCAACATACCTTTTGACCCAGCAATTGCACTTCTGGGTATTTATACAAAGAAAACCAAAACAGTAATTAGTAAAGATCTATGCACTCCAATATTCATGGCAGCACAATTTACAATAGCCAAGATATGGAAGCAACCTAAATGCCCATCAACAGACGAATAGATAA